AAAGCAATCAGTGTATCTTTGACCATGCCTATGCTTAAACAATTCAAAATTAAAAAAATAAATTAAAATTTCAAAATATAAACTTAAAAACATAATAATTAGGAAATTATATCTGAGTCTATTTATCATCATATTTTCCACCTTTTTTTTTTTATTAGTTTTTGCATCTTTTAGTTTAGGAATCCATATTGTTTTGTTTTTCGGATTTTGTTAAAACATATTACTTTTTTTTTGCAGGAACTAAACACATGAGCCATCCTTGTAGTTTTACTAAACACAAAAATCATCATAAATTATATCTTTTGGAGTGACAGTCATTACTCTCTCAAAGATTCTAAGAAAGATCTATTTAGTTCTCAAAAGAAATCTACCTAGTTCTCAAAGTTTTCAAAAGAAGAAGAAGTACTAAATTAGACCACAATGTCTGAAATGTATTTAGAAAGTGAATACTGTTAAATCAGGTGAATGCCGTTAAATCAAGGTGAATCCTGTTAAATCAAGTTTTATTAGCATTATTAAATTTTTATATTCATTTGCATCTTTAATAAGAAGTTTAATATTGCTTTTGGCTTTATAAAGAAAAAAACATGTTAAACATGGAGTAGATTAAAAATAGATTTATCAAATAGCCATCAACAATATAACTCAAAAAAGCTTAGCTGAGCGAGGTTTAAAGGAAAGAAAATTTTTATATGAAAAGAAAACTACTGCTTTATATGGTCCACATTCTTTGACCTAATTTATGCAATTACCTTTGATTTTTGGAAGAACCTTTATTGTCCAAATAATGCTACTTAAGACACATTATAGGTTAAAATTTTTCTTTGTACACATTACCTGCCAATTAACAAAGTTTTCCTTTATCCCTATAATAAGTAAGAAGGAAAAAAGAATCTAATGATGTTACAATAATCTTGCTACACTACTTCACCGAAATCCTGTCTACAGAGGTCACTCACCAATAACTCTTTTGTTGAATAAAAATTGGAATGTGCTGCCATCTCCACTACATGGTATTCTATTAAAAAAATGACAATATTAACTTTTCCTATTAAAGGAAACTCTTAAATGGGGTGTGATTGAGACATGATCTTGATCAAGAAAAAGCTTCATATAGACAAACCAGCCAGCTGGCAATTTATGAGATGTCACTTTGTGTGATGAAATGTGATGTGATGTGGGAAAAAATTACTCTTTTTCATATAATTTCAGTTTAAAATACAAAGTTTAAAATACCATGCTGCTAAATATAAAAAGTATCAAATGAAAAATTTCAGTTTAAACCATGCTGCTAAATATAAAAAGTATCAAATGAAAAATTTACTTGTTACTTAAATTCAAAGTCAATCTCAACCACTTTAAAAACATGCATTTTTAAAAACATACCAGATAAACTAGTTTATAGAAACAGGCCATTAGTTGGGGCTATTAAACCAGTTAAAATGAAAGAAAATACTATTGGATTCCCTTTTTTAAACAGAGTCTTTAAAAATAGACCTTATAATTTTTACTATGAAGTATAAAGACCTACAATGTTTAAAACATCAAGATAGACAAAAAATAATTTTATGACTATCTTCCATATGAAAGAGAAGATCATCATACTGAGAAGCTTTTTTTACTGATGACAATATCTTTCTTAAAAATCAAGGATAATAAATAAAAAATTATAACATTTACTATCTGTAAAACATGTGAAAACTCTTAAATAAACTTCAGAACAAATTGTTATTAGGTTGGTTAAAAAGTAATGAGCGCTTTTTGCAATTAAATTTATTAATCATAATTTCATAACTTATCTTCAACAATATATGCACTAGAGTGTTTAAAAAAAAACCACTTTTAAAATCTGCTAACTGCCCTTTCTTGTGGATTTAAAAGTTTTTTAATAAAAAAATTTTTAGGGGTTGCTCATAACCCTTGAATATTCAAAGAGTCTCTAATAATAATAAAAAAATAAAATACTTTTAAGGTACATTTTGTAGGGTCTCAAAACAAGCAAAATTATAAAAAATCTAAAAAATAACAATAGAATGAAAGAAATATTCAATGAAAAAGCAATCATATCATGAAAAAAGAATAATGAATTTATAAAATTTATAAAAGTAACAAGTAGATTCCCCAAGGATTTAGTTCCTGGCCCAAGGATTTAGTTCCTGGCCCAACTTTGTTGCTGATATAGATCAATGATTTTCCTGATTGAGCTGTATCTTTATTTGCAGATGATACTAAGTTATACAAATTACTTGCTGATAGCTAATCATGCAATAACCTGCTCATCATGCAATAACCTGCAAAATGATATGGAGATTATAACAAACTGGCAAAATTATGGAAACTATATTTTAATGTCAAAAAATGTCAATTTATGCACTCAGGACCGTCAAGTGAAAAATTTCATACACAATACAAATCTTAATTTCTCAATTAATTTAAAAAAGTCAAAAAAAAAAAGTTTAAAAAAAGTTGTCTTAGTCAACTGTAATTTAAATTTTTCTACTTGTGTAAATACTAATGTTAACATAGTAGAGGCTTACAAAATATCAATAGTTAATCGAAAACGTTCTATATTCTAGTAAAACTGTTCTTGGCCTGTCTGGTCTCACTAATAAACACAGATTAGTAATTTTAACTAGCACGAACTGTCATTTCTTATGTAATAACATGGTAGAAATTTATAAATGCAGCTTTAAAGTATATTTACAACCCTTTACTGTTCTCATTAAACGCCATACCGCAGTTTAGTCTCAGTGCCACTAATATATCCGTTCATACCACTCCTGATTTTAAGTAAGACACACATGCTGAAAAATTTTTTTCAGAGTTTTTTTTTCTATAAATTTGTGAGAGTCACAAATTTATAGAAAAGTCTTCTTTCTGAAATAGTATGTTAAACATCTGTCGCAGTATTTAAATAATCTAGATGTTTATTGGAAACATCAAATGTACAAGTGCATATAAACAATTTGATCAGTATGAATGAAAAAAAGGTTGATAGGCTTGTTAACTGAGCTTAATTATTCTATTTGTAAAAACTTATAAACTCAGATAATAATAATAATAATAATAATAATAATAGTAATAATAATAATAATAATATAGACATTTTTACAAAATATTTAATCAAAATATCTCGCAAAAATGCTCTTTTTTATTTTTAGTCAATTTCTATACAGTAAAATCTAAAATAATATTTTTTTTATATTACGATTATTTTTGAAATTTTTATATTATTTTCTACTTGATTATTTGAAATTTAAATATTCTTTCTGATGTAAAAGTTGATAAATGTTTTTATTACAAGGTTATGCAAAATTATAAAGTGCTTTATGCAAAATTATAAATTGTTTTATGCAAAATTATAAAGTGCTTTATGCAAAATTATAAAGTGCTTTATGCAAAATTATAAATTGCTTTATGCAAAATTATAAATTGCTTTATGCAAAATTATAAATTGCTTTATGCAAAATTATAAAGTGCTTTATGCAAAATTTCGAATCGTTTAATAAATCCATTTAAAGCATAAAAAAGTTCGAATATATGATTTATTTATATATAAGCTCATGTCATTTAACATTTAGACTTCAAAAAAATTATATTAATTTAAGCAACTACTTTATTCAAAAATCATGTTTTGTTTAGATTTTTCCAACCATCGCTCCATTGATCTCCAAAATCCACTTAATTCTTCGTTAATTTCACGCATTCGATTAAAAATTATTTCCAATGCATCTCTAATATTAATTTCATTATTTAAAGCTTTTATTCCGCAATATCTTGCCTTTATCATGCTAAAAAATTCCTCAATGGGATTTAATTTAGGAGACCATGCCGGTAAATATTCTCTATTTATTCTTAATTCATTTAAAACTTCTATAATACTTCTTGATCTGAGAAATGGAACATTATCCATTATCAGTATATGGTCTGGGTTTTGTCGGAAATAATTAAACAGGTTATTTCTTATAAATATTTCAAAGCTTTCAGCATTATTAGCTCCAGTTCTTAATTCATAAGCAACCACACCAGAAATATTTATTGCACACATCAAACTTCGATTTGTATTTCTGTTTCGGGAAACAATGGAATATGCTTTTTCATTTTTTTGGGAATACCCATATCGTCTTCTCAAATGCTGATTTAATCCTGATTCATCTAAAAAGACCAATTTATCACTAGAAATATGTGAGATACGGCGGGCATATATGGCCCTTTTTTCAATATTTGCTGGGGAATTTTGTTCTTCGGTAACCAGTGAAAGCTTTTTTCACGTTATATTTATTTTCCGCAATTTCCTTGATACTGTTGATTGAGATATTACCATACCGGTTGCTGCATTAACTTAATTTACCATTTCATTTTGTGTCAGTTCATTATTTATTGCTATCGTATTAAATAAAGTATTTTCGATTTCACTGAACAACAAATTTTTGTTTTTGATTGTTTGCTTGTGGCGTTCTCCCTTAGTAGCAAATTTGATGCCTTCTTGATGATTTCTTATGCAGTTTCTTACAGCACTTTGGCTAATGTTTAAAGTTTCGACAATGTATTTGGTTGAATGATTATTTATCGAATTAGACATGTTTTTAATTGTTTCATGAATTTCCTTAGTTATCGTTATGCGACTTTTTTTTGCCATGTAAGGTTTTAAATTTTTATTTTTTAACATTATTTAAAAAAACTTGCATTAATTAGATAAAAACATTACTGATTTGGTTTATGTTTTTCAGCCAGTTAGTCATTTAATTTTTAACTACAATTTAATATTGTATTTTAATTCCTATGCATTCTTAGATGATTCTGAAAATGACCTGTACTATTATAATGACATTTATTTATTGTTAAATAAAGCACTTTATAATTTTGAATAAAGCACTTTATAATTTTGCATTAAGCACTTTATAATTTTGCATAAAGCACTTTATAATTTTGCATAAAGCACTTTATAATTTTGCATAACCCGGTAATTTATATGTATATAAATAGCTGTAAAAAATTACCTGTGTCTAATAAAACCTTAGTGGCTGCTTCAAGATCATCATCTTCAAATTTATCAACATTACATTTGAGTGATTTGCCAATTTTTATGAAATCTGCTCGGCTAATAATTGGAATCTCACCATTATTTTCTTTTGCATTTCTTACTTTAATAATCTCTGCTTCTAATTTTTGATAACTCTGTGGAACCAGCATACCCATTATCTTAGCACCACCTGGTTTTCCATCAAATGTCATACTCTCTGCCAAAAGATAGATTTGTGTTTTGAGTGAATCAATATCTGTAAAATAATTAAGTAAAAATTTAAATGAAATTAATAAATTTAAAAAATCTCAATAACTAAATTATCATTACATTAGTTAATTTAAAAAATTATTTTAATTTATTATAACTTATTAATATAATTAATTATTATAATTAATTAATTATTATAATTAATTAACTATTATAATTAATTAATTGTTATAATTAATTAACTATTATAATTAATTATTATAATTTATTAATTATTATAACTTATTATAATTATTATTATAAATATGATTATAAACTACTTTAAAAAAAATTTGATAAACAATTAATGTAATTTACAATAATTACGACAAACATTAACATAATTATGTAACTATAACAAACTTTTATGTAAAAACAACTAAAAAATTTGTTTACTAATTTTTTTATTTTTGCAGTATCTCAAAGACCAAAAAATGCTGGATTTGCCCTTGTATCTGATAGAGCCTGTGATGCATAAAATTATGACTTAGAAAAAATTAAAACTTGTTTGTTCTACTTAAGAAGATTTTTGAAACTTATTATAAATTAAAATATTTCTGATAATTGGAGAAAAGTTCCAAAGGAAATCTGCAACTATCTTTTAAAATCAATGCAAAAAGGATGTGCTGCTTGCAAAAAAGCTAGGGAGATGTTTTAAATACTAGCTTAGATGTTATCTTTGTTGCTTTAATTTTTATAACTTTTATTGATAATTTTTGTTATCATGTTTGAAAACATTTTTATATACAACTTTATGTTTAAGTATGGCATTTAAGATGCAAGATTTGTTTAAAAAAGATTTTTCTTACAAGTATAAAAAAAATTTGTTCAATACCTTCTTTAGTTTATATTTTTTGGTAGTTTAAATATGCTTTAAACAAAAAAGTTTTACTGTGCCTATTTTTTTGAAAGTACTGTATGTGGGTATGTATTTGTGTGATAATAACATATAATTAAAAATGTTTATTTTAGTTGCGATTGTCATATCTTTATATATGCATAAAAAAAATCAGTTTCCAGATGTTCTGCTGAAGGAGAAACTATAATTAAAACTCAAACCATATTTCATTGTAGTGATTTTTCAACTGTTAATTGCCATTGTTGTTATATTTTATTCTAGATCTGTTTTTTTGATTGGTTAGCAAAATTCGATCTAGGTATTTATAAAAGTACTTATAAATTTTTTGGTAAATTATGTATGGCTTTGTTGCATTTTCAAGTTTATTATATTACTAATAAACTTGAAATATTATATTACTATTTCTTATCAGCTATTAGTGCAATAAGTACTAATTTTAATAACTTGTTGTGTTTGTAATTAAAGTTGTTGTTTATTTAAAAGTACTTAATACATTAGTTGTATACTTGAGTATTTTATGGTTTTCTATTAGAAAATGATATTTTTATTATTCTTTACCATTTATTTAGGATTTTTGCTGTTTTGTAATGATGTTATAAATACTGCAGTATAATATAAATACTGCAGTAGCAGGCATAAATCACAGGGTAAAGAATAAATGGCAATGATATTTATCTGATAAGATAAATTTGTCATTCGTGCTAAGCCTCTTTGAAGCGCCTGTAACAATAAATGCAATTCTGAGAAGTTAATAAATACCACTAAATAAATTTTGTTTACACAAAAGCAATAATATTTTTCCTTTATTTTATACCACATTATGTTGGATTATTTTTAATTGTTTTATTTATACATATACTATAAGCCCCTGGCCACCAGACCTATGTTATTTTATAAAAGCTAAAAATTTCTCAGTGCATGGGTCCAACTAAAGTAGGAACAATGGTCAATTATGTAATTTAGATCATGGTGGCTTTAGCTGGTAACAGCCACCAAAGTGTTTAGAATACCAGCAAAAATTTATCAAATCATAAAACATAATTGATTTAAAGCATAAACTGATTTAAAAGCTAAAACTCTTATCTAAAATTTCCTTGCCTCCAGCTTTAAGTCTGCTGCCTTGGGGATCTTGGATTGAGTGAAAGCTAGAAACGGTGTTTTGAAAAAAAAAATACACAAACTAGGCAGACCTGTATGAAGCTAAAATTCCCATGCTTTGGGAATCTTTATAAAAACTTAAAAAGGTGTTTTGATAGAAATACTCATCTTGAAAAGATGTTAACAGCATCCAACTAAATATTTCCCTGTTTTAGGGCTCTTGGTTGAGTAAAGGCTAGAGATAATGTCTTGATAAAAATACTTATCTTGAGCAGATGTTAACTGCATTCAGCTGCTGTATTGTAGGAGGCCTCCTAGGCAAAGACATTCAGGGTAAACAAAATACTTCTGCTGACCAGAAGTATTTTGCTTACCCTGCAAAATACTTCTGGTCAGCAGAAGTACTTTGCAGGGTAAGCAAAATACCCCTTTTTCATCTATTATGCTAGTATAGAGTAAACCTGTGTTACATTGTTTCCTAACTAAGATGCAGGATCATAAACTCTAATTATAAATTTATGCTTGATAATTGCTTAGCAACTCTTCCTGTTATTTGCTAATAAGGTTACAGCTCTAAAACTCAGTTTAATGAAACCAGCTTGTAGTAAAGTTTCCTGGACTCTGTGGTAGCTTTCAGAGAGATTGATTCCATTAACAGCTAAAAAAATACCAAAGTATTAACACTGCCAAGGTTCACATGGATGGTGTCCCTGTTAATGCTTTTGGTGTCCATGTCGAGGCCACATAAGAAGCCCTTAGTTACTAACTAATAACTAATTTTAACTAATATATGACTTCGGGTTAATTAACAGGACTGAGACAAATACAAAGCTCATTGCACTGGGATACTGTGCTCTATCATTTATTATATCTATGAATATCATATACATGAATGAGTTGAGTTCTCTTTAAGCGTTATTCATGCCAAATATAACCCAAAATATTAAACATAAAAAACCATCCCCACAACATATTTGTTTTAATATTTTATTTATAATTATTCATAATCATAGAAGTAACCTTTCATAAGTGGAACCTCTTGCAAAACTCACCAGACTTATTTGCTCTTTGTGAGACTAATCTAAATTCGGCTGTTCCTTCTTCAGATCACAGTACTGATATGTACTATTCTTTAATTCTTAAAGACTCGAATAATCACATGTTAGGCTCAGAAGTATACTTATGAATCAATTTATCTATTTGTAAAGAAATCAAATTTGAATCCTTAAAGTCTTCTGTTTAGTACCTTTTCACTCATTAACTTAAAATTAATATTTGTGTCATTCCATGCCAAGTGGACCAAGGTCCAACATGGACACCTCAAATTTAGATGAAACTTGGTGGGTTGGTTTATTTTACTCTTTGAAATTTCAGCATAAATTATTTTGTGGCTAATGAGATAAAAACTTTATTAGCCAAAACATGTTTTGTTAATACTTTGAAGCTTTTAAAAAAATCTCAGTAAAAAATTATGGACTTCTAAAAATGGCTACAACCAAAGAAAATGAGCCTACATTTTAAACCATTGGTAAACTAGGATCAACACAGGTTTTAATAAGACTTTTTTTATGCTGATTTAATAGACTATTTTAGTGATTTCAGAAAAAAAAATAGTGGGTACTTATGTAGAAGTTACAAAATCAGAACACTGAAATTTGCACAAAATGCAATAAAAACAATAAAAACAGAGTTATTATTGTACTTTTTTTTTTTTTATTATTGTACTTTTGTACGTTTGTATTATATATTGTAATATTAGTAGTAATAAATTTAAAAGTATTTTATAATCACTACTAGAAATAAGTCTCAAATTAAGCCTGAATTAAACTCAATTTTTAATTATACCTAGCTTCTCCCTGATCATCCTCCCTGTCTATTTACTTTTTAACAAGAACTTAGAAAAAAATTGTAATTAAACACTTCTCTTTACTCAGTGTTTGGTTTTATGTTTGATGCATGAAGTGACTTCAAACACAAACAAAGAATTCAATATATGAAAGCTATGACATAAAAGAAAAGCAATTGAGTGTTCTTTTTATATCTTTATTTTATATATATATATATATATATATATAATTTATCATTTCTTATTTGTTTGTTGTGCCAAAACTTATAAAAACCTTGTTTGTTTTGTTTCAAAACTTGTATTTAAATCTTTTTAGATAGTAGTTAAAAATAAATGCCAAGCGCATCGTTAGATCTATCCCAATGTTGCATCAGAAAAGCATTAAATAAAGATTGCCATGAAATAAAAATTTTTCAAAATCAAGAAAATTAAATGTTTTGAGAAATTAACAGAAAAAGATCAAGAACTTGTGCACTTGCAATATGAAGTAAATCATATTCAAACTATTTGTAATCACCATGAAAAGGTCTCCTTGAATAGATTTGAGAATTCGTATGAGGAAAGCTTTTGTTGAGATTTATTCGACAAACACAAAGTTAAATTAAATTTAAAAATAAATTGACTTGATTAATTTTTAAAATAATGGCTCTTTTAATGTTTTATAATTTTGTTACTTTTTAGAATCTTTTTAGAACCACAGTAATCAGTATGAATGATTACTGTGGTTTATTAATTATTCCAGTGTTAATTAAGGATGAACCAAAAATAAAAGAGCTGTGTTTGCAAAAGTAAACAAGACTTGGACTCATTAATGGAATTCATTAAGGTAAAGTTTGATGTTTTTTCAAAATCAGAAAAACCTAAACTACTGACTATGGTTCCTGAGAATTGAAACATTAATTATACACAAAACTACTTTTCTGCTTCCCTAAAAATGATGAAAGTTGCAAGGTATTTGAAACAAATGCAATGCATAATGGCAGAACCATCAAAAAAAAGGAGGAAGATCTATTAATGAGAAAGTAAAAATCAAGATTCTGAATTTTACTAGTCAATTAATACTCTTAAATGTGTTCAGGTTAGTAAACAACTGGGGTTGATATTTGATAAAATATCAACTCCGATATTTGATAATATATCAACCCCAATATCGAGTTTGACAAAATATATCAGATACAGAGGCCAGTTTGAGACCGGGTCAAATAAACATTTATACATATTAAAATATATTTTTTTTATTCAAAACTCATGTTATATTTTGTATATATATGCATACATAAACATCATTATGATCAACAAGATTATCATAATCATCGTTGTTATCATGATGATGATGACCACCATCATCATTATTATCATGATCACAATCATCATCACCATCAACAGCATAAAATAGGAATGCTGCTGATGATGATGATTATCATCATTCAGGCTTGATCATGGCTCATCATCATCAGATCATCATCATCATCATGATCATTATCATAAGTTTCCAAACCTTTATCCTTCCTCTTTTATTTTGTTTCACTAATATAATTAATCTATAGCATTTTTTTTCTTAACTAAAGCTAATTCATACAACATGTAAGGCACTCTCTTTAAGTTTTCTTACTAACACTACCATTTTCTACTAAAACTGGTACCTCTCTACATACTGATGCCTAAAATACTTTAATCTTTTATAAAAAGCGTTGTTCGATGATGACAATGCTCTAAAAAACGTTGTTTTTTCAAATCTGTCTAAGAATATGCCTTTTTTTTGTATCTTACTTGAGTCACACCATGTATCCATTGATCCTCTACTCTTTTGGCTAATATTATTTCATATGAACATACAGGGACAAACCCAGAATTGTTTAAAATCACTTTAAAAATTATTAACCTTTAGTAAAAGTTAATTGAACAGATTTGCTAATATTTAAATCTATTATAAAATATATTTAAATAATTTTTAAATATATTTAATTAATCAATTTAATTAGTAAAATTTATAAAATTAAAATAATATTAAATACGTTTATTAAATGCTTATAATTTTTATTTGAATAGTAACTTGAATAGAAAACATAAAACTATTTTGTTAATTTTACAAATAATATGTGATTTAATATATGCAAATATATTATGTAATGTAAATATTGACAAAAACTGTTTAAAGTATTTAATCATTTAATCACTATTTATTTAAAACATTATTAACTAATATAATTGAAATTACTAAAATATAATCAGTAAATGTTTAAAATACTTTGAACAATTTTCAATAATTATTTACTAATAGCGTGATATTTGATACAAAAGCGTTTAAGTCTTTAGTAAAATAGTTTTCTTATCGTAACTACACTTTAACCTTGTCTTACAAGTGTTCTCTAGAACTCTCTCAATTCTCTCTATTAACTATTTAATAAATGCTTGACTGAGTCTTGCTTTCTTGCTCAATTAAAAATGGCATCTGTGATTCCAATTTTTAAAAACTCTGATAATATTTTGACCCCTTAAACTGCTGAACAATCAATCTTCTTTATGTTATTAACAAGGTCTTTAAGCCTTTGATCAACAAATTTCTAACATCAGAGTCACCTTGAGTCAAATGACTTACTGTCATACAATCAGTATGATTTTTGACCTTCTTGCTCTAAGGTTGACTTGCTAACTGATGTGGCTGAAAGATGTTATTATGAATTAGAAAGAGGCAATGAGGCTAGGGCTACTGCTCTTACCTAAAACTTTTGATAAAATTATGCATACTGGTCTTCTCAATAAGCTTGACAACTCAACATTATATTCTTATCTTGATAAAAAGTCTTCTGTTTTTCATTGCTTCGAACAGGCAGCAATCTTGAATCTGATCTCACTTCGGAAACAGATTAGAGCTTGCAGTGGATTGTGAATTTGAACTCCAACAGAACTAAGTTATTTATTACTATATTGATGAATGACAATCCTCTTACTGAGTCCTCTTACAGTATTGAATAAAACATTTGCAACCAAATATCGAACTATGCTAAAAAGTGTTCCTAATTTTATATGTCTTAAAAATGAAACAAACTATATTACCACAGCAAACAGTTCAGGAGTCTGGAGTCATAGCATGCCATGACATGAGCAATCAGCTGACAAGTGACAGCAAACAGGCAGAATGCCATTTTGCAGCGGACAAAACAAGTGCAACTTTTTTGGTTTGTTTCATTTTCTTAAGTCTGGTCCTTGTCAACGTCACGGAAATTTTTTAATAATTAAAGGAAGTATCCAGAAGTATGAAATTACGTAAGTGGAATGTCACAAATTACGTAAGTGGAATTATTACGTAATTACATAATAATTCCAATTAATACTTAACAATTCCACAAATTATGTAATAATTTCACAAATTACATAAGTGGAATGTCACGATTACATAAGTGGAATGTCACAAAAAAGCATTTGTGATAAATATCACGTGGAAAAATGGACCATATCAAGACTATGTTTCAAATATCGTTCTACCGGGAAGTTGGCAGCAGATAACAAAGGTGGAAGAGTGCGTTCAACCTCTTCTAGAGAGGATTCTATGATCATCAGATTTGTCAAGAAGGATCCTTGGATATCATCGAGATAAGTAATTAGAGCTGCCTGTATCGGACCGAAAAATCAGACATGCTGTTGAAGCCGGATTGTTTTCTCGATGCCCTGCAAAGAAACCGCTGATTTCACTGAAGAAACAGAAGAAAAGACTCCTATTTGCTACATCTCATATTGACTGGAATGTGAAGAAATGGCGAACTGTCCTGTTTAGTGATGAATTGAAGTTCAACATCATTAGGAACGATGGCATTTGACGTGTATGTTGACCGGCCAGAAAACGCCTCAGTTTACGTCACTGCCATAAGACCGCGAAGCATGGTGGAGGCAATGTAATGATCTGGGGGTGTTTTTCTGCTAACAGTCTAGGTCCAATACATCAAATCGATGAAATAACGGACCGTTTCATGCATAAAAATATCTTAAAATAAGTTATGTTACCTCATGCTGAATGGAATATGCCAATAAAATGGGTATTTCACCAAGACAACGACCCGAAAAACACTGCAAAAGTAGTCAAGCAGTGGTTTCAAGACAACCATCTATCGGTAATGGATTTGCCGCCTACATTAAAAAAAACTAGAATATTTCTGAACTTTTGTTTTTAAAACATTTTTTTGCTACTTAAGTTTTTATTTTTGGAAAAATCAGAAACTTCATATGACCATATGGAGACAAACCCAGACGTGTTTTAGTGCCGCTGGAGCGGTATGGGCACCCAAAAAAAAGCGCCCAAAAATTATTTTTATTTTTTAAATTTTTTTGCCTTTTTATTCAAAATAGAAGGAAAAAAAAATTTAAGTTTTAAATGCAGTAGTATATAAATAATTTGCAGTGGTTTCAAGACAACCACCTATTGGTGATGGATTGGCTGCTTCAATCTCTGGATCTCAACCCTATCAAGAACCTGTGGGAGATCGTCAACCGCAGAGTTATTCATGAAGGTGTTCGTAATAAGGATCAGCTGTTTGAACAAATTCAAAAGGCCAGGGCAGCAATTCCACAAAGTTTCATTAATTACCTTATCGAATCTATGCTTCAACGGTGCAAGGCTGTGATCGACAACAAAAGATTTGCCACGAAATATTGATAGCAAAAAACAGCTTAGTCAACATTTTGTGGAGTTGCACTTTTTTTGTCGAGAAGGAAATCAACTTTTTTAAATAATTTTGATTAATTTATTAATTTTCGTGAACAAATAATAAACTTTGTGATGAATAAAACTTGAAGAATGTTGTCTCTAAACAGTTACATAGTTATTTCTCTAAATTGAAAAAATGCAGCTTTTTTATATAAAGAAACTAAATTAGCATTATTTGGTTGCACTTGTTTTGTCCAATACTGTATTTATGTCTTCTTGGATTATCATTTACTATTCACCTCTTGTGACCTCTCTTTCTCTTCTAGACTCTTTCTCTTTCTAGGCCCAAAAATGCATTGTAAACGTAGTTGGACCTGCTTTGACTGTTCAATTAAATAAAAAAATTTCCTTTGAGTAGTCATTCAGCAAGGTCTCTTTAAAAAGTCTTCTAAAGTTCAGCTTCTGCTCTCTGAACCCTTTAAAACTCTCTGCCATCTTCATATTTTCCTGACTCATACAACCAACAACTTTTCAAGTCTTTTGTCAAAAGTTTCTTTGCTCGCTAACTCTATTATTTGTTTCCTATTGAGTCCCAACTTAATTGTGGCTCTTTGCAGCTTTGTTGTTGTTGAACTAGAATTTAAAAAAAACAAATAGATAAATCAAGGCTCAACAAAATTTTATATAGCCAACATATGAAACCAAAATCAAGCAAAATTAATTTATGTATATATTAAATATCAGCCTAATATATTGTTACATCGGTCAATGATGTAGAGAGTGAATATATAATACAAACATTTTAAATTTTATGAAATAGACTTTAAAACTACGTAATTTTGAATTTTTTAAATAAATTTTAGAAATTTGTATCCAAAATGCATGATAAAATTTGTACTTTTAGTCAATGAATTACTATTAACTCAATAAAATATTGAATTGTAAAAAGTTATCAATTCTCCCCAAGCCCATTAATAACTTATAAATTTAAATAAACATCACGATTAAAACTAACTTCTATAAATTACGAGTCCCAAATTATTTCCTGATTTATTTAAATGTGGGAAAAAAATAACTATTATAAAAATTTCAAACTTACTCTTATTGTAATTTGGAAACTTTGGGTTTAATGAAACAAAAATTATTTTTACTCGACTAGAAAAATGGCTATCTTTGGCTCGTAGACTCTTAAGGGAAGGAATTTTTTCAAGGATCGCTTCAATCTCATTCGTCATTTTTTTACATGCATCATCAATATCTTCATTAAGAAGATCAAGTTTTGTACCAACAATAATGACATAAAATATCTCATTACGAGCTAACAAGTTCTCAAGCCATGGTTTTAGTAGTTTAGTACAAATTTTCCTTTTAGTTACATCCCAAACCAACAGATATAACGAAGAAGAAAACAAAAAACATGGATGAGTTGCATAGTAGTCTTCTTGCCCTGCAAAATCCCATATTCGAAAATTAAAAGACTTTTTGCGACCAAACCCAATAGATACATCTTGAATATCAATACCTATACAAATAAAAAGTATTTACTAAAATATAAATGCATATTTATATATAAATGTATTAGTTACAGATACCATGAGAATGTATGCTGGAATCAACATCATTAACATTTTAAACTTTTGTCAACTTATAATATCAACTTTTTATTATAGAACAAAAAAACACCTCAGTTAAATAGAAAAACAACAAAACAAAAAACAATAATTTTTTGTTTCTTAAATAAAAGAAAAAATTAATAAATAAAATTTAACAAAAAAATTCAATTTTCTTTGTGGAATAGTGTGTCTTTTTTTGTGTGAATATAATAAATTTTATGAAATAGACTTTAAAACTATGTAATTTTGAATTTTTTAAATAAAGTTTAGAAATTTGTATCCAAAAAGCATGATAAAATTTGTGCTTTTAGTCAATGAATTACAATTAACTCAATAAAATATTGAATTGTAAAAAGTTATCAATTCTCCCCAAGCTCATTAATAACTTATAAATTTAAATAAACATCACTATTAAAACTAACTTCAATAAATAAATGTCAGAGTGAATAAATTAATCAAGCCACTAATTTTACAAAAGTTTACAGAAAAGAAAAAAGAGATCATAAAAGTGATTGACAGAAAGCTTAAAAAACTGTTAAATGCATGTATCAGGAAAATACAAAGACATGAGAGAATATCAAGGCAGTAATGTGTGTGGAAAGAAACTATATCAATAAATATTTGAGCATTAAAAACTGTAAAAGTAAAAAAATATGACAATAAAAATGACAAGTCATGCAAGATTGACTTTTGGTTGGTGAAAGGAAAAACAGCTTGCCTGAGCTGTAATCATGGTAGTTTTTTGCAGAAAAGGAAGAAGTTACAACAATAAAACAGAGGCTCAAGCTTGGCAGCTAAAATAGATCCAAAAACATTCACAATGAGTTTTTATACCAAGTCTAAAAGAGAGAAAGCCTCATTAGATGAGCTACCCCAAGTATGACAGTATAACAGTATTTATAAAGGTAGAGAATGGAATCAGGAGTGAGAATACAATTAGTAAGAGTATTTATCCTGATAAAGAGAGGCAACCTTAACCAATGGTAACTTTTAAATGGATTGTTTATATGGTTTTCGTAAGAGGTCATTATTGAATGATAATCTGAGAGTAGTAGTGAGAGTAGTGAGAGTAGTCTTAAGTAGTAGACTCATTAAAAGTGTTGCCAGTTAAAAAACATCAGTTAGGGCCACTTTAGAGGTAATCTTAGCTAATGGTAACTTTTTAATGGATTGTATATACAGGCTCGGCCAGGAAGGCATGCTATTTCACGCATGCCTTCCTGGCCATTATGACAACGTAAATACTATTTGATTTTGAAAACTTGATCATGGCTTTTAAGATGTTTTGAAAATTTACATACATTTTAAAAACGCGCTAAAAAAATTATCATAACTATATTTATTATTACTTTATATAAAAAATCATTAGCAGTGATTTGTTACTTTATTTAATTGCATTTTCATAATATAAAACATAAGTAAAGATCAAAGTTATTTAGTTCAAACAGCTTTTAAAAAAGTTTCTCTTTTTTTTTCTTAACAAAATATTTTGTAATAATAAATCTATATTTGTTTTTTCTTACTGTCTTTGTGAATATCTTTACTCAATATATATACATTTGCAAATACCCCGAGGGTATAATAAACATTATAAACATTATATACAATATAAAATGACACACCCACAATGTTCCTTCTGACATAACACAACAAAAGTTTATATATAACACAATTATTTACACTAATTACAATACCCCTTGATCTCTGGATCACAAAGTCTGCATACTTATTTGGAAATTTCCGCACTTAGGTTGATCTTCTGAGATTCAGGTTATCCACAATAGTTTCTTTTGATTCTCTAGTATACAAGTCAGCTACAATGGGAGCAAGACGGACGTCCAACATGTGTCTCATCAATCTATTGATTTCTACCAAATCTCCTTGTCCTTCATCTGAGACTTTTCCCCTGTTCCATTCACTTGTACATTTTGAGTCAGGTGGTTTTACAAATACTTCTTATTTTTGTAAAAAGTTGTGGAGAACTTCCTCATTAGTGTTAGGAGAAATTGTGTGTAGTTTCCATTCATTGGAAAATATAGCCATTTTTTCTGGGAGCCACATCATACCAATATACCATTTTTAAGGGATTTTTGCCACTTCTGGCTGCCATACGCTTGATTGTGCAATGATGAACTTCAACAATTCCATTTGCAGATGACCTGTCAGTGCAAAAAACAGGATGGACACTCCCCATTCTACACATAATTCACTAATGGGTTTTGAGCAAAAAGTCTTGCTGTTGTCAAGTAGAACTTGCCACAGAGGTCCTATTTCTCTGAATATTTCTTCTAAATGGAAGCTAAATGTTGTTAATTTCTTGTTCTATAGCTTTCTCCAAATTGCAAACTTGCTCCTTTTGCCATAGTCAATAACAGACAAATAAACCTTTAATTTATAGTGAGTTACGTCAATAGCTAATCGGTGCCAGATCTTTCCAACTTCAAAATTTTCTTCTTCCCATCTAATTGGCGCAGGATCCACCAACAAACATCTTTTGCTACTTTTTTTAAGACTTTAGTCATTATTATGGGCGCCACATTTAAACCGTAACGCAATTTTGTTAGACAGTAATGCTGGCCTTCATATTCCACAACTTGATATTTCCATAATGTTTTGTCGACATGAATCTGCAGGTACGCTTTCATTAAATTGATTATCTCAAGATTTTCTCCCAACTTTCTCCAGTTGCTATGTTTGGTACTGCAAACATCGCCATCTACAGTATGACTGGATACAAATTGATTGAGCTCCCGGTAGTCCATCACCGGACGTACTTTTAATTTGTTTCGTTGAATTACAACCATCAACGGAATGATGTCATT